TGGGATAGGGTTGGAGTTGAGGACAGCAGATAGGGGTGAGTGATAGGGGTGGGATATAGGGGTAGGGGATAGGGGTGAGTGATAGGGGTAAGATATAGGAGATAAGAGATATGATGTACGTTCAACGTTCAAATTAGAACTAAATAATAAATTCAAAACAGTTTAATTCTCTATTTATTAAACTATGTAAAGTTACTTTTGGCCAGTTAATAAACACTACAATTTTAGCCAGAAACATGATTGTACATAATTTTTTAATCTCCTTGGCTTATGCTGTAACTGGAAGCTCCATGTAATTTTTTTTTTTTAATTATAATTCCACAACTAATCTAAATTTATTCGGTACTTCAACAAGACATGAAAATGCTCTTTCGTGGTTGCAGACTCGGCTGAAAAACTTTTTTTTTTTAAGGTACAGCCTAACACAAAGCTTGTTTTAATAATTTGTTCATACATTGTAGGACGGTGGTCTGACTCTAGCTCAATTATAAAAGTTTGACAGTTTGTACGAAAATAGAAATACTCAAACCGGTAGCATTGATCCCGCGGCAAGTGAAGAAGTGTTCAAAGAGCTATCCAGTAACAGCAACTACACTTATTCTTCTATAACGACCAGCGTTTGCTTTCATACAGAAAGTTTTAAATTCTAATACTTGTGTAACAAAACCCTCAAATTTATATTAATTTATAGGATTAGGTGCATCAATATTACGACCAGGCCAGACCAACCTACATGTAGTACTGTGTGTTGTATACCTATTTAAAACTTAAGGGTTATAATTTGTTGTAGCCAACATTATTACATTATACGTGTTTTATGTTTTTTTTATGAAATTTACAGATAATAGTTTTGATTATAAAATAAAAAAAATTCTAATATACCAGTGATTCAAAATTCACTGGCATATTTATATGTTGTTTCAACTTGACTTTATTTTTATATAAAAAACTTTTTTTTTTGTTTAAGTCAGATTTGTCTCCATAAGCAACTAGATAATCCTAAATAACATATTAAATGTATTCATTACAACTTTATCAAACAGTATATTCTTTTATTTATTTACACTATTATTATTGTTGCTATAGTAGGTTTCAATACAAATAAATATTGATTTTTCAAAATAGTTCGTTTCTTGAATATGTATCATGTTATTATTTTTTAATTTAACAGTTTTTTGCTTTTTTTTATCATACATTTATATATGTATATATTCATATCTTCATTTATCGTTGTATCTTCTTAATGTTCCTAACTGCTGAGCAGAGGACCGTCGTCTAGAAATGTTACGCCTAAATACTCCATCGATACCCGTCATAATTTGCGTTGTCAATAAGGCCGTGGAATTGTTGAGGTGGCAACCGAACGTCGACCGCATAAACTCTCGGAATAGCAGTCCTTCGCACAGAACTAACGGTAGGTCGTATAATTTTAATCTATACAAAAAGAGAAACAATCCTTTGAGCTTGATGTAGTATGGTAATAGATATGGTTTAAAAAAATTCCATCTTGTCCCTTAACGTCGTGTCGTACAATGGGTATGTGGCGATGAGTAGTACTCGCTGACCGTCGATCGTCGTTTCAGCTTTGCAAATGTCCATATTTCCGTTGTCGCGTTTCCATCGTGATATCAATTTGTACGAAGCTAGTGAAAATTTGTCTCAATCTTCGTTCGATAGCCAAGTTTCGGATAGTGCGAGCAGTCCACACGATGGTAGCACAAAGCCGGTGATGATGTCGATCGAATCCACGTGTAGCGACTGAACGTTTAGTGAACAGAGTGTCATCGAGTCGGCTGTGCGGCAGCGATAACGATCGACAAATTCACGACAGTGGGAGGCGTGCGTACACAAACGGTGCTGTAAAAGGCATGTAAATTAGGTACCAATTTTTTTTAAGGGTTCCTCGCATCCGTGGTAAAATCGATGGTCGGAATTCCTATTGGTTTGGAACAGACCTTTGTACAAGGAGCATCGAGACAGGGGTACAGTGCTAAAATTATTTATACCTATACTCATTTTTTACTTACCCAGTTTTTGGGATTCTCTGAGTTGACAAACCAAACGTTCGGTTCTTTATCGGGTAACGTGAGTGATGAAGTGGGCATTTTTAAATCCCTATTTATTTGCCGGTTTCTTTTGTTTAACTACGCATCATCGGTATCCAACGAATGGTCCGTTAAATTCAAAGAATCTACAACCCGACGTTGTATCTTTCTCGGCTGGTAAGTTGTTTGATTCCATAGGCCGGTTTCTTTTGTTCAACAACGCGTCGTCGGTATCAAACGAATCGTCCGTTAATTTGATGTACTTTGTTTTATTATAAAAACTTTCGTCAATTATACTTTTGTATAACCTTTGTAAACACAAGTTCTTGGTGTTCTATATATTTGTATTTCAAATCCGAATTTTTCTCATTGGACACTTTCGTTTTAAATAGTCTAAGTCTAATTATTTCCAAATTTGTATAAAACTGGATGTGATTTCATCAAAATAAAACGATTTGATGCGAATCTGGGAATAGTAAGAATCCAGCACAGTCCAATTAGTATGAATGGTGCAAATAATGATAAACTACTCAAACACTTATATTAACTAGTTGTCGATTGGACACTGGCAGTTATTAAACACAAGCAGACTCACAACAGTATGTTGTTTTTGTTTATGTATTTGTATTATAAGTTTGTTTTTAATATTGTGATTAGGACGAATGCTTGTCAAAGGTTTGCACGGTTATTAATTACAATTATAGTCATTATAAATAGATAATATTATCTTCATTAATACAAAACAAACACGATATTTAGTGCTATATTTATTCTACCAAAAGAATATACAATAATAAAAAAAAACTATCGATCTAAAAACTAACAACCACCCAGAATATTCAATTCAACTCGAATTAATACAATTCTGAGTCCATGCAAAATTTAACACATATGTTTTTTAAAAAATTGAGGGTAGTACTTGATCAGATATGTTGAAAGACATACTGTAAAGTACGCGCTAAACGAAAACATTGGTTGTTATAATTCCATGGCAAACCGGTCTGTACTTAGTTGACTATGCTCACAGGCATGATACGGGTACGCGGTTTTAATTACACTATAAACGAGTACCTATGTTATAATAAAAGGTTAGCATAGTGGAGTTAAACCACCATTAGAGACCATCTGGTTAAGATTTATATATACCAATTGAAGGATATAAGACAAATGTCGGTCGTTACATAAGAACGGATTATTTTACAACACTGTAGTATACATAAACAACTTTATTTTGAAAAAACAAGCGGACTGCTTTAAGCAACTCATGGGGTAAGCAGTCTGCTTACCCCATGAGTTGCCTTTAAGTATTTAAAAATTTTAAATTAACCTCTATGTTGGCATTCCATATTATTCCATTTTATTCAAATTTACTCCAAGATTACTCTAAGAATTTAAATAAGGTTATTCGATAAAAAATAAATTACAATAAATAATATGGTTCAAAGCCAAAGTATACAAATTTTAACATAAAAAAATAAAAAAATGTTACATGATTATACTGCAGATTCAAACCCAAAGTATACAAATATTAACATGAAAAACATATCATCATAATCGCCTGCGTCCATTCGTGATAAAAATGGGGTTGCCAAAAACTTGCACGGCATGACCTATCTATATGTATTTAATCTATGATAGTATTGTTTTGGCAACGACGATGTACAAAGTTGTAATATTACTATTTAAAATTTTAAACTAACTTTGTTTGTTTTATAATAAATTCCGGTTGTCGTTCTCCTAATCGTTCCGGTCTCAGTTGTTTCCATTGCTTGCTGTCCTATCAAAAACTCCATGTCACCCTATAATGAACACAATTTATTATTGATAAATGCTAATATTTAGTTAACCAATTAATGTGATGAACATGTTTATATTTATTTACTTATGCAGGTGTTTTGCAAGATATGGGTGCAACACCACACCCTATACTCAAGAATTGACTGTACTAATGTAAAGTAGAGAACGGAGACAGTTTATCGAGGTGAAATACATACTTCAGTTCTTCGTCTGCAGTGGCAGGCAAAGCAGAAACCTGCTACTGCAGTGAAGGTGCACGCACATGCAATTTTCAACATATTTAACTTTTAAAAAACTGGAAAATTAGTTACAAAAAGATTATATCGGTTGCTATAAACAAATATTCATCACTTATTAGTTGTTCCGTAACAATAGGGACAAATCAGTATTATTAAAAAAAAATTTAAACATGTTTAATACACGTGTATTACATAAAATATACTATTTATAATATATATACCATTTTTTTTTGTCTGAGCCCACGATTTTTCTTTAATCACTTAATCGATACCAAGTCATCGTATTAGAGAATATCGTAGCCGAAAGGTACTTTATAATGTTTTAAATTTAAAAAAATTTAAAACATTAAAAAAGTTAAATTAAAGTTAAATTTAAAAAAATATGTGTATCCCTTTTCCTTCAAAATCTAGAAAAATACCCTAAAAATTAACATATTTTTCATCTTGTAACTAAGGCACGTTATAACTTTTTTAACAGTGTTCAAATTAGTTGTGAATCTATGTAGGATATTTTTAAGTTTAAGTACTACCGAGTACCGATATAAAGTGAAAAATCAAGAAAATAACATTAACCCTGCCCCCCCAGAAGGGGTGGTGATTTATTAGTTAACTCACTAATAATGTTAAAAATGATTAGCATTGTTCACAATTAATATAATTACACTTTTAAATTTGTTTACAGAAACAATGTTTGAAAATACATAATGTCATTCCATTACATTACATAAATTTAATAAACTTTTATGTCTTTAACTATAAATCTGTCTTTCAAGTCTGTACAAAATATGAAGGTTAATATTTATTTGGTATGGTTACAGCACAATTCCCCTCAAAAAAATAAAAACAGATATATACCTGTGCAATATTGCACAAATGTCATATTATAATAAATTTTTTAAGAAATTACAAGTTACCTAGTTAATTGCCAATTTCTCGAGTTATATACCCATCGACTTGATGACCAGCTCTCCGTAAAATCTTTGAATTCGTCCTTCTGTATAGTCATGTGTCATTTCTTCTATTTATTCTTCAATTGCTCTTGTATTGGATTCCCTTGTTCTTGTTGAAACACCAACACGGATCTGCAATTTAATTCATTACATTAAAATAAATCATAGACTAAATCATATTCTAAGATATTACTCACTCTGAGGTTGCTCCGAGCTTGCTTAAATTCAACCTCGCTTTATTTTCTAAAAACCTCAATTGATCTATAAAAAGATTAAATAGATTAATATCAGTTCTACCATTGATTAAAAATATGTATTCAACTGTATTCAACTGTATGAAAATGTAATTTATTTTTAATAGACCTTACATAAGAACTTACTAATAAACTCCCATACTTTAGGATGAGGCTTCATAATTTGCAATAACAATGAATGGTAACTTTCTAAATAGTTATTTGTCCTAATGTCTCTCCTGAACACAGAAATATTATCAGGTCCAATATCTACAAACCAGAGTCGATACAGGATAAATAAAAGAATTGAACTGGTAGGCCACATCTTCATCTTGAAGCATATAGAGAGCCATAGCGTTAAATCCATCAACCATTGATGGAATTCTTTCAATCCTGTGCGGTGATAGATAAGGTAATACGAGTACCTGCAAAACAAATCCTCGGTGTAAGTTCAAAAAAAGTAATTTTTGATTTATTTTTTGAACAAAAGAATACACATACCATCCTAATAATTTGAGCAGCAAAAGCATTTTCTTTCACCAAATTGAAGACACTACCTGCTTGTTTCTTGTTTACTGACGAATCGCCTAGAATAGCATAATACATTTATTAAACAATAACCATAAAAAATATTATTACACATTCTTCTACAAATATAAATATTGACAGTAATATGCCAAGTTTTGTTTATTTATTTATTTTTATTTTATCGCCGGAGAGCATTATACTATAAACAATTAAAGAATCTTTATAAATAAAAATAAAAGGACTATACATACATTCGAAGAAATATATAAATATATATAAAGATATAGATATATAAGATATATAGATTTTTAATATTAATTAAGACAAGCTAATAGTACCTGGAGTTTTTTCAACTTTCGTCTGTGAAGACTTAAACTTTTTCAACTTTTACCCTCCCCAAAGTACCAACTAGATGAAATTTGCGATTTATAGAGTTGCTACTCGAAGGAATTGGTCCAGTATTAAAAAAGTTACAGTGCGTACAGCTAAAAAAAAAGCCCACATCAGAGTAAAACCAATACCTTCTCGCTTTGCATCGAAGCTAAAACATTTTTCTGGATTTTTGTGTAAAAGACATCAAAAGTGGTCAAATTATATGTTTTCGGGGTCGGTGATTACGAATTTAATATCAGTTCTCAATATTAATCATCCAGAAAGAACTTAAGTAAAAAAAAAATTGAATTTGTGTTAACTTAAAGTCAATAGTGGTACTTGAGCACAAAACTTAATAGTATCATTCTGCATAGATATACATACAATTTTTTTAATGATTTGATCAATTTTTTTAAAGATTTTAGGTGTTTTTGTTAAAATATATGAAATCTGCGAAAACACAGTTTCCCGGCAATTAAAAAAAAACTGTAGTGCCGAATTTTTTTCCCGTTTAATTTGTGATGGGTACATATGAGTTCCAACTACTGGCAAATTTTCAACCCAAAAGTTTTAAAATTACCGCTAAAAACCCCGAAAAACAAAAAAACTTTTACCCCCCCTAGGGGGGTGGGAAATGGGTATAGTTTAAGTTTGACACAACTGACGTGTGCGGGCATACCAAATAATTATTCCTTATACATTTTAACTCGATCCGACTCTTTTTCTCGAAATTATAGCCAGTAAAAGTTCGAACTTAAAAACTCGTACGGTTTTTTTTTTGTTTTTTCAACTTTCGTCTGTGAAGACTTAAACTTTTTCAACTTTTACCCTCCCCAAAGTACCAACTAGATGAAATTTGCGATTTATAGAGTTGCTACTCGAAGGAATTGGTCCAGTATTAAAAAAGTTACAGTGCGTACAGCTAAAAAAAAGCCCACATCAGAGTAAAACCAATACCTTCTCGCTTTGCATCGAAGCTAAAATGTTACATGATTATACTGCAGATTCAAACCCAAAGTATACAAATATTAACATAAAAAAACCAGTACAGTGGGGTCGGGGCATAGTGGGGACGGGGAGGTCACAGGTTTACAGGAATTTTTAAATCTGAAAGTGATAAAATCACTTTCGAAAAAACCACTATAACGTGTCTGCTTGGCTAGTTGGCTAGGCTAGGCCGAAACGACAGTCGATAGGGTTAAATTAGTGGACCTGAAGACGGAACGGATGGCTAGGCCGTATCTACACTTAAATATCCCTAAAGTCTCCTTTGTATATTTGCTGTATCGCCTGAGGAGCTTAACAGGCGATCGTACCTCTAAATAACTTAACTCTCAAGTGTGCAACGAAACTAAAACCGGTTTATTAAATAAGTAAAGCTATGTACACATATATATTACACCTCTACCTGAATCCTAAAGCGTTCTCTGTAGTTAGTCCAGGTAATGGCGGAGTTGAACGGACACACGAGTAGTTAAAAGAAATATAAATAAGTAATGTAACGTGAAATAATAGGTAATGAAGGTTTCAAGGGGAGGTATAAAAGAATTGCACGCGCGGAAAGCTTTTTACCCGCACCACCCGCTTTACCTCGAATGTATTCGCCCTTTTTAAATCCGTCGGAGAAAAGCGAATTCGTTCGAATATACTTCAAAAACAGAACTAGCTTGTCGACGTCTATGAACAACAAAAAAAAAAAAAAATAATAATAAAAAAACTTAACCAATTTAATATTTCAAAACTGTTTTCTGGTTTCCAAACGTAATCAGACTTTATAATCTTTTCCCTTGTAATATTCCGAATATCAGAGCATCTTTATTTCAAACAACAAATTATCAATTAATTTAAACGGCAGTTCAATCAACAAGGAGCGTCTTGATTTCAATTGACAGTGTGTTTTCTATTCACATCATCTGGCCATTCAAGTATTCAACAGTCAATCAATTCTATCAGAACATCTTTAGAAAACCATCATCATCAGACATGTATTTTTTTGGCAACAATATTGTAAGTTTTTTTAAAAAAAAAAATATATATATATTTATTTATTAGTAGTATGCTTGCATAAAAAAAAATTTTCTTTTTTGGCATTTCGAAAAAAAATTGTTTTTCTTTTAAGGGAAGAGAAAGCTTAATTTTTAGTACTAATTTGAATAAGATATTTATCAATTATTATTATACACATTAAAATTTTTAAGTTTTCATCAACATGTCCCTTAATCGTTGTATACCGTTGTATAGTGGTATTATATAGTAGTTGGTATATATTTATATATATTTAAAACAATTTTTTCAGAAAATCTATTCTATAAACCATATATTTATATTTATTGCATAAACCATAAATATTTTATGAGTAACTCTAGTAGTAGTAGTAGGAGTAGCAGTCCTGTTGACGAAAAATCAGCTGATCCAGATTTCAATCCATCCTATAGAGCTCTAATTCCCGAACCTGCTCAACGGAAGTTGCGCTGAAATTCCTCTATCAAAACATTATTGGTTAAAGGTGATGATCTTCTACAAAGCTCTTCCAAACTTTTAAATACAACTTCTGGTAAACTCGGGGAAACCGACAGTTCTCTAGGGCAATGTAGTAATACTTTATTAAAATCTGATTTACCTGAAAATCTTTTCTCTAATTTTAATGAAGCAGGCTCATCCGAAATACCTACTGTAAAATATATTCTCAGCGCAAAGTCTTCACAACCGAAATTAGAAGAAAATCAAGAAGTTCAACCAGATAATATGGCTTAACCATCATACATGACTATTGAGCAGGCCCTTCGAGTAATTCCGGTATTCGATGGAGAGAGTGTAGACGCCAATCACGCATTTCAAAATGCTTGTGATTTTGCAATATTAAATATTGATCCGACGTAAATGAGCAACTTTATAAAGGGAATTACAACGAGGTAACAGGCAAAGCATATAGGGCTATTCGATACAAGGAAATTAAAATATACAAAGACTTAGTCAATGCATTAAATGCAACCATAGAAAGGAAACATACTTTAGCTCATTTACATTCTAAACTAGCTATGTTCCGGTTAGCACAAGGAGAGACAATTCAGCAGTATTCCGATAGAGCAGAGCAACGACATCCTAGAAACATCCATGTCTACAGGAGGATTAACTAGTACAGATGAAATAAGCAAAATTACAGGATTGCAGATACTTACAGCCTTCATAGAGGGACTTCCACATGATATTCGTATTTTTGTGTAAAGCAAGAAACCCAAAAGAATTAGCAGAGACAGTCATATTGCTTTGGAGGAAGAGACATCTCGGGCATCACAAAAAGAGATACGAAAGAACATCAATGACCAACGGATAAGTAGATATAAATCACAAATCAATAGAAGCACCACAGCCGCATCAAACATTAGACCACCAGGTTCCTGTTTCTTATGTGGGCGATGTACTCGTAGATGAAACTCAATGTTATCAGCTTAAGGGAATATATGAATTTGCGGTATATACTATTTGATTAGTAACTCTTCAAATTCGATTTGGCATTTACACATTATTCCAGGTAGTACGGGACGACTTTCCTGTTCCTTATGATAGTATAATAGGAAAGCCTTTTCTCGTTAACAATGGACTAGCAATTGATTATCATACATCAGTAGTCTCAGCATCTATCACCAAGTCACTTCAGCTCCCACCACGTTCAAAAACTCTCATACCGATTTCGACTAAGGAACCAGAAGGCTCTTCTTTACTCATTCATTCACAAAATATTCAAAAAGGATCAATTCGTTTAGGCAACGTATTAAACAATGTAAAGGGAAAAAAAATTATCATACTCGCAATCAACTCAGCCGAACAATCAGTCACCTTAAGTCCCCCGAGACTCGAAGAGTTATCATTCGAAAGTTTTAATGAAGCACAAATATTAAAATTCACAAATTTTGAACCTCAAACAAATATTACTAATCGATTATCACGGATTCAAAAAAAAATTCACACAGAACATTTGAATGCAGAAGAACGCGATAGTTTATGGCGAACCTGTCGTGATTTCGTTGATATATTTCATCTGGAAGGTGATCCATTCCTAGTCACTAATGCAATTCAACATGAGATCCGTCTAAAAGAACACACTCCACCTATTAATGTTAAGCCTTATAGGCTTTCCTATGCGCATCGTCAAGAAATTATTCATCAAATGGAGCAACTAGAACGAGATGGCATTATTCAACCTTCAGAATCTCCACGGAATGCTCCTATTATCGTAGTTCCAAAGAAACCTGGTCTCGAGAAAGACTCATTGAGACTGTCAGAAATCGACGCACGTGAAATGCTGGTAGAACAAGTTGCCGTCATTAATCTACAGTTGACGCAAAACGTATTCCAAGTTCAGAGA